GAGCCGCCCGAGCCAGTGAGCAAATCTGAGCCCTGGTCTTGGAGAAAAACTCGGTGGCAGGCTGCCCCCTGGGACAAAGGGCCTCAAACACTCTCCCGGAGCGAAGACCCTCCTTGAGGGGCGGGCATTTCTGGGGGCACGGTGCCTGCTGCTCCTGGCTGGAGGAGGGTGTGGGTGTGGCTGCACCCCCATATCTCCAAGGATAACCTGGTCTCCGAGGCCCAGACTCGAGGAGCCGAGGGCTCCTTGGCATTTCCACGGGAAAGGCCAGGGCACCTGGGACCCAATACAGGCAACCCTGCCTGCTGCCCACAGCCATTCCCCGCAGCCACAGGCCCAAACCCTCAGAACTGTCTCAGTTGCTCCCTATTCATCAAATATCCACCCACCTCAGGGCCTTTGCACCGGCTGGCTGCTCCCTCTGCCCTGCACACTGTCGCCCACATCTTTCCATGTCCGGTTCCTGTAATCTGGGTCTCAGGGAGGTGTTTCTCGGCCACCCCATCTGACCCCTGTTGCAAACCTCCCTGCCCCCAGCCAGGCGCCCTCCTGCTATGGCATCCTGCTGTTCCCAGACCACCTACTGCTACATTCTTACCTCATTGACTTGTTTCCTTCCTTTTTAAACATTTTTTCCTTTTTATTGACTTTACTGGGGTGGCACTGTTTAACAAAATGACGCAAGTTTCATGTCACAGCTCCACAGCACATCATCTGCACACTGTGCTGTGTGTTCCCCAGTACAGGGTGAGTGCGGGAGGCACCGTCCACCACCATTTATAGGCCCTCAACCTCCTCCACCTCCCCACCCTCCCCCACGCTCGCCTTCCTTTCTTGTTGTTACCTTTACCCACCAGAATGCAAGCTCCTTGTTCCCTGCTGTGTTGCTAGAGCTTAGCACGGCGCCTGGCACACAGTAGGTGCTCAGTACATAGCGGATGAGCAGATAGCAGTCTCTCTGTCAGTAAAGGGAGAGCATGAGGGGAGCGAGATGGTGAGAACCCAGCCCAGGCAGGTAGCAGGTGCCCCAGGCACAGGAGTGGCCCGCACCCTGGGGGAGGGCCCTGCGGAGGCTCAGGGGAAGGCCAGCTCACCAGGCAGGAATCCCCACGACTCTGAGGTCTAGGGCTTTTGAACCACAGTAACAGGAAGGATTCAGCTACTGTAAACAACGAGAACATTTCTGGGTCCTCAGAATGAAGATAATAGGAAAGTAAAACAAGATAGCGACTGGGTTAAATATATTACATTCACACGGCCGCGGGACTTTGAGTTCGCAAGACACGGCCACGCTCCGTGCAGGCCACAGCCATCCCCCTCCCCAGGTGATGAGACGGGCGGCGGAGGAGAGGCGGGCAGGCAGCGGGCCAGAGCCCGGGCTCCGGGGCATCTTCCTGGAATCTGGCTTTAATTTTCTAATAAATTGGAAGAATTGTTTTGTTTTGTTTTGTTTTGTTTTCAGCAAAAGTTTTCCTGAGTCAGCCACCTGCTTCCGTCTGTCCCTGGGCTGCTGCCCTTGCCCTGGCTACAGGGCAGGAAGGAAGGACTCACAGCGCCTGGGCAGGCGAGGGTGCCTGCCTGCTGGGTCAGGCTGGGGCCCGGGGCCGGGAAGGCCATCTCAGCTTCTCTTGGAAAAGGCTTGTCTGAATTGCTGCCTCAGGCCGCCTGCCCAGCCTCCGCTCTGGCAGCGCCCCTACTGCTCTCTACCCAGTATTTCCTCTCAGCGATGTCCCCACTGGATCCAGCAACGCGGGGCCTGCGGCAGGACTAACAGGAGAGACGCCTCCCAGGCTCGGGTCCGAGACAAAGTGGGAGGTAGAGTGAGAGTAAAACCTGGCGAGCAGGGTCTCCCTTAAACCAGCTGAGCCGGACCCCAGGCCCGGAGTCCTGCCGCCGTGGGCCCTGCCTCGCCCCTCACCCTCGCCCGGCTGCGGCCTGGCTCACTCCCCTCTCGGGGGCTGTTTCCCCATCTGTGCAGTGTAGTAGCCTTTGGTGATGCTGACCTCAGAGGGTTGTATGAAAATCAGGGTGATGCACGGAAAGCTTGCCCAGAGAAGGGAGGAGGAGCCCCAAGCTTCATACGGGGCTCTGCAGGCCTGGCCTGCGGGTCCCACAGCCGCCTGACTGCTCACCCGCAGCGACTCCCACCGACTCGGCTGTTTCGGTTCCTCTCAGCCACCTGGGGGTGCAGGGCCCTCCTGCTGTGGGCGAGGAGCCCCTGACCAGAGCCGGCCAGGCCGCAGCCTCGCCCAGCCCAGAGGTCTCCTTTACCTGCTCCCAGGGCCTGAATGCCACCGCCTCCTGCTGAGTGGTCACCCCCGAAGCAGACTGTGAGGGCGGTGCAAGTGCAGACTTGAGGGGCCACCAGGCGCTGAGCCCGGACTGGGCTCCCTGACCTCCCCGGGGACTCTGACCTGCCCCTGGGCTTAGTGCTGGGCGTGAATGCTCTGGGACCCTGCG